CTTCATAAGATAACTACCTACAAATCACATATTAACTGATACGGAAAGGGACCTACGAACTGACGGACGTACAAACCTAAAACCAAAGTCTTTTATGCAGAACAAACTATACAACACCATAGTATATATAAAGCCAAAAAGAATGATTTCAAAACAATACAAAATAAAAACAAAGAAAACATGTTTCGTTGAAGATTTTCTGAGAATTAAACCGTGTCTGATTTTCGGAAAAATCTCTGCTAATTTTTATATTAACAAAATTTGAATGAAAACACATACTGTTGTAATGTTCTGTACAGGCAAATGTGATGCTAGTTACATATATTCAACTTCATAGTTTTAATATTAAAATGCGGAAAACGTTTAAAATAAAATTCCGTCCTCCTTTCTAGTGCAATCCTTAGACTTTGACGATATGCTATACATCATGTAGGTCCTCGTCCTCTTACAGAAATGTAGACATCCATCTTGAAATCATTTTGATTTGATTGTTAAAAAATTAAGTTTTTCTATATATTAGCATGTCAGTACGGGTGTGTTTTATTAAATATGCATCGATGAAACTATGGTGCTTTGCTTCGGAAATTGGTACTGTTGTACTGTTGCTTGGTAAAATTCGTGTCCCGTGCAGATGATTGTTATGAATTTTAATTCTCGATAAGTAATTTTCTAATAAAATTTAAAGGAATTTAATTATAAAATTAAAATGAGTTTATAATGTACCAAAAGACTACAAAGTCCAAATATCACCTATAATAATGTATTTCAAAAGGTGGTTGTTGTCTGGCGTACATGTAGTCTAAATTTATCAAACGAAACATCAAGTGCATCAAACTACTTAAGTTGCACAAAATTTCAACAAAACACTCGTCCTTTCAGCGTGTATTAACCAAATATTTTAAGAATAATGTATGAACAAAATAAATATATCACAGCTGAACTTATCATGAGAGTAGTCTGTGATATGTAATAAATCTATCGCAGAAGTCTTAATGGACGGGAGATAACTCTTACCGAATATCGCCTCACTAGGAAATATGTCGCTAAATTAATTAAACAAATACCTTCGGATATTTTAATACATGAAAATTTGAAATGGAATTGAAAACGATTCAAAACATTTTTGTTTCCAAATTTTATTTGTGAACTGTTGTCTATCATATACCTCTCCAAAACCTAAGACAAAACAACTACCACTGTGACTCTTTGTGAAAATACTCGTTCATTTTGAACATTTCAGTACAGCTTACGGTATATTTATAGATATGATTTATTGACTAATTATACTGTATGTATTTTGTTCATTGTATAGACGGTTCGTATGGTTACCTACATCAAAGTCATTTAAGCCCATTGTCTCATTGGCAATCATCCCACATCTCCTATACAAAGTTATTCGTTAGTGTCCTCATTTCCTTGGATTTCATGGATGAACTCATTTTCCCGAATTTTGCGGGTATATGTGTATCAAGAAGTTAAGTGATCAACAAAATAAAAAAAATCATATTTTATGCAGAATTTTTAAAAACCATGAAATGATGTAGCCAATACAATACTTTTTCCACAATGGACCAAAAAAGGATATAAACGATATTGAATTCAAAGCATCATCGATCGAGGTCGATTTCACAGACATTAGTTCAACCTTAAATTGACTTTCTCATTCGGTATGGAGTTTCATTCACCACCATTAAAATAGGCCAGCTAAAAATGTTTTACTACTCTAAAAATTGGTAAACCATCTGTGTTAAAAATGAAAGAAATATTGTTTGAGTTATCATAACCAAGAGGACCTTATTCTTAGATCATTTGTTTATAAATGTAACAGTCATAAACATCTTTGTTGCTTACATTTGCTTTTACTCTCTCAAACCTATGCTTCAATCCATTGATAATTTCCTCTCTAGAAAAGAAAGCTGTCAACTGTGATACTGTTGTTGGCTCTATAAAATAGTCATTAGAGTTGTGACCTGATAAATCTTTCAAACAATGTTGGTTTCCACATTGTAATTGACCATACACAATTCTTCTAATTCCTTCGAAACGGTGGCGTTGAATCGATAGTTTGCCTGTAGTACACTGTGGTAGTCGTTTTCAAAATTCTGACAAACAATCACGGAGAACTCACCTGTTATATTCAGCTGCTTCTGTCTCACCGTTAGGTAGGATCATTTCTATTGATAAAACTAGATTATTTGGGTCATTCTCATCTTTTTTGAAAAAATATAATAAAGATTAGAGAACTTGCCCCCTACTTATTTTGACTATTTTGCACTGGTCATTATATAAACATTTCCGAAAACACCTTACCATCTTGACTCATTGTTGGCTGGCATGTTGTTATAAAATTATTGGTTTACAGATAGTAACAACAGGACACAACTGTTCACAAAAAGTTATCGAAGTATATGCTACACATAAGCTTAAACATATAAGCCCTTCCACATTACAAACCCCTTCTATTAGATATTTCCATTACAAAAAAGTTAGTGTCTTCTCAACGAACACTTTAACAGTAACTTTTAAAATTGTTATTTAACTCAAAGAATCCTTAAGTACAAGTTGTTCCATATGTTCTATTGACACGAAAATGTAATGTGCATATGTTATTTTTGATAATTTTGAATTCCAGAATAAGGTTATTCATACTGTGCCTGTGCATATCCATAGAAGAAGAACAAAATATTGACAAGACATGCATTTTTTTCTGAAAAAGTTGGGAAAAAGAGTTTTAACAGTTCCGATTGTTAGTCAACCATTAGTTAATTCTGTATAAGCGATGATCGGACAATAAACGGAAGAAAAATCAAAAGATGTAGTATCCATTGTGGAAAAGCCCAAATTTTATATAATTTTGGTAATTCAAAAAGTTCATACAAGGACCATTTAAATTATTTCCATTTAAGAATAGCAGATCTGGAGGAACTCAACATTCCTTTAAAGAAATTGCATTCCAACTTATAATGTCTGCATATTGTAAAGTGGTGATAGTCCTGCTTGGCAATTCGAACATGGCCAGCAGCGAGGTGGACATTTTAGCTGCATTTTGTGAAATACCCTCTGCCAAAAAATATTCAGCTAAACCACTACAACATAAAACAATAACAACATCAATCCCATTGTAAAACTCAAAATAGACAATCTGGAAGATGTTCTTGGAGCCAGAGGCGTCTCCATCAGCCTCATGCAGAAAATATCTGCGATAGGTTTTTCAAGACACTTTAGAAGATGTCCAAAGACCAACGCTCTAATGTGTGAACATTCAAAATCAACATCAGAGGAACAACACATTCTAAAATATGAAGTGTTTGCCGGCGAACCTTTGCACGACATAACCAATATTGTAACCAACATTATCACAGAGCTCCCTCACCATGTTAAGGATGAACATATTCAAAATCAATACAAACATTGCTGTGTTTCAACAGTAGCTGGAAAAATCAAATTCAAAGCTCCAAGGCAAGACTATGCCGTCAGATTAGCCATTTTTACACAGAACATGCACAATGAGGTTAAAGTTAACTCCTTGGTGCTTTGTTTGTATCGTCTCGTATTGTGTTTTCGACCGTCTTACGTTTTCGACCTAATCCTACTTTCACTTCCCGTATGCTGCGCGTGCCCGCGTGACGTCATAATCGGCTGCTATACTTAGTAACAATAACAAATAATTCCACGTGTGGCGAAGATGTTCCAAGTAAAGTTATTACAAGTAAGTATTTACGTTTTTCTATTTGATATCACATTTTTGTATACTTTCACTAATACCTTTTCTACCCTCCAAAAGAATCTATTAAAAATAAACAAATATTCTATAAATATGCATGAAGACTTTTTGCATAAGAAGTTCACACCTAGGTCATTAAGTCACGTGACTGTCATGTGGTTAGTCGTCATACTTAAAGTTATTTTCAATCCGGAAAATTGCATGATCCTTACAGTTTTTTACTAAAAAATAAAATAATGATTAATTTTTAATTACAGAAACAACAGTCTGTTAGGAAAGATTACAGACAGTACTCCCCAACCTCACTTCACAATGCCTTGACTAAAGTCTTGAATAAAAACATGACTGTTTACAAGGCTTCCAAAGTATATGGAGTGCCAAAGTCAACCCTCCTTGATAGAGTTTCTGGAAGGGTTGGTGTAGATGTAGTAAAGTCTGGCCCTGCCCCAACATTGGATGTAGAGCAAGAAGCAAGACTGGTTGACCACATAAAAATGATGGCAAATTTTGGTTACGGGTTAGTTTAAATTTTAAAAAGAGGGGAAATAAATGCAATATTTCAGGAATTTCAAATTAATTTTTTTTTAAATGCTAACAGCTTGTTTTTCATTGAAAAATATATTTTTGGATTCCATTCATTTTCATATTTATTTAAATAATTTGTGTCAGATGCATGTACATATATAGGTTTTTTTCGTCCAAATATTATTATAATAATATTTATTATTGTAATAACATTAATTGCTATTATTATTATTATTATTATTATTATTATTATTATTATTATTATTATTAATTATAATTATTATTATTATTATTATTATATTATTTTTTTAATTGCAGATACACAAGATCTGAAGTTGTTGACTTGGCCACAGATTATGCCGTGTACATGGAGCTTAGAGAGAAAACCAAACCATTTACCCTGAATTGGTTCTACTCATTCATGGGTAGATGGCCAGAGCTAAAAACCATTAAAGCCAGGGGTTTAGCCATATCAAGGGCAAAATCGGCATCACAAGAAAATATAAATAGCTATTTTCAGGAACTAGAAACAATTCTTGTAAAATATAATCTTACTGATAAACCTCATTGCATATACAATATTGATGAGAAAGGGGTAAATTTTCAGCATAAGCCACCAAATGTTGTTGGTGCAAAAGAATCTAAACCTCCTGGTATAACTTCAGAGAGATCTCCAACGGTCACAATTATAGGTGCAGGAAATGCATTAGGCACCCAAATACCCCCTTACCTTATATTTGCAGGTGCCAGAATGAATAACAGTCTTATTGAAGATTGTACAAATGGTACATCAGGTAGTGTAAGTGGATCAGGCTGGTCAAACACTGATATTTTTCATAAATATCTTGGTGAACATTTTATAAAATATGCTCAAGGATTAACAGATGACCAGCCTGTTCTACTGATTTATGATGGCCACAAATCACATGTAGCTTTAAGCGTAATTGCATGGGCAAAGGCTCACAATATTATAATTTTAGTTTTGCCAGCCCACTGCAGTCACATTCTACAACCATTAGATGTTGGCTGCTTTGGGCCCCTTAGCAGAATTTTAAATAATTCCTGTCATAAATATTTACGTGAGCATAGAGAACCAATCAATAGGTACAATATTGGTAAACTTGCTACAGATGCATATGTGAAGGCTTTGTCGCCACATAACTTAAAAACTTCCTTTGAAAAAACAGGGATATATCCATTGGAAAAAAACTGTGTGTCTGCCATCACTTTGCTTCCGTCAACGGTATTTACGACGGACATAGTTGACCCTGACGACGCTGTACAAAACAAACAAACTGACCATGACAGTGAGCATTCTCCATCTGTTAACAGTGACGCTGGATATGTCTTACCTGACACTGGACTTGACTTACCTGACACTGGACTTGATTTACCCGACACTAGACTTGACTTACCTGACACTAGAGTTGACTTACCTGACACTAGACTTGACTTACATGACACTAGACTTGACTTACCTGACACTGGACTCGACTTACCTGACACTAGAGTTTACTTACCTGACACTGGAAACATCACATTGATTGATGAGGCAGATCCATTGCCTGACGAAGATGAGACAGACATCTTGACGAATAACGAAATACAGAAGAGTCCAGCTGGTTTTTTCAAACAATGTGAGAAAAATATTGGTATTGTTGTAAAAAAACAAACAAAAAAGAGGAAGTATTTGTCAAATATTACTTCTGGCAAAGCTATAACTGAGGATGATGTAATGGCTGATATTGTAGCACATTGTAAAAAGCCAAAGATTACACAAGTTATTAACAAAAAGAAACCAAAGAGTGTAAATAATACAAGTAAATGTAAAAAAACTAAAGCATGTGTGGAAAACGATGTTAAGGTTACTAAACCTAAAAAAGCAAAAAAAGTTAAAGTTATTGCTAAAGCAAAAAATATGTCACCAAAACCTGGTACTTCTGGTTTACAGAAACTGATTATTTCAGATGATGACTCATTTGATGATACATGCAGTATTGAAGATACTGATGAGTCACCATGTTGTGTATGTAAGAAACGTTTCCCAGAAGCATTGAGACAGTGTGTGTCTCTTGTTTTTGCTCAGTGGGGTAAATGTATGTATCCTCAATGTGACCACTGGACCCATCTGAGATTTTGTTGTAATGTGAATGTTCTTAGGCGTCATAGTATTTTTTATTGTCCATGCCATGGACTTCCATGTCTACAGTATGAAGAGTGATATGTGAAATGTGTATAAATAGTCAAATAAAGATATCAAAATAATATTTTATATCTCATAGTTGTATATGTTACCATTTAATTCCTTAAGTCATAAGTTTGATCCCCTCTTACACTTTAAATAATTTGATACATACTTTGGCATCAAATTATAATCCATTCCGGATTTGTACGACATGTCATTTCCGACTTTGGACCCGTTTATTAGATAGGTCGAAAACACAAGACGCCAGTTTTTGTAAACAAAGGTGACATCGATCTAATGAATTCAAATAAAAAAAAATATTTAAGATCGAAATATATTTCAGATACAATTATTTTATGCAAAAGTATACTAGTGACTCCCAAAATATTAGGCATGTCTGGGTTCAAACAAATAAAAGGGAAATTCGGAGAAATGTGTTAGTAGGTCGAAAATACAATACACGAGGATATCATTGTCTTGCTGACATAGGGACACCAACAAAATTGCTGCAAGAAAGTTTTATTGGAACTACTTCCATTGACTGGCAACACACGCACCAGAAATGAACCGACTTGTTTGTATGTGGTAAGTTGTACCAGAACAAGAACGGTGATATGGAGAAATCAAATACAGTAGCAGACACCCTTCAACTGTTGTTGACAATGCTGTTCACAGATACAATGCCAAACAAATGTTTCGTGAAAAACTGGTGCAAAAAATCAAGAATCGACCATACGTCATGAAACAACTAAATGAAAGGATGGCCATTAAATTTTCCATCACTTAAATATCCATACAAATTTCAAGTACATACACAACAAAGGATCAGACTTTCTACCCAGTGGAAAAGGCTGTTGGAAGACATTTGATTACATGTCTGCAATTTTTCATGATACAACAATGTTGTATCCGAAACATCTTTTCATCATTCTGGTCTTTCGCTATATTAGAAGAGAAAAAAAACAACTATCTTGGTCAGCGTTTAGGTACATGCACCAAGGACCGAAATGAAGACATGTTTTCAGTACCACTTTACAAAAATTAGAATTCATGGTCAGCCGTAACCTACACCTTATGTTGGGCCAGTTTTGATGACAAGAAGTATATTTTTCTACAGCAGTTCAGTTTACTAATGAAACAGAATGAACAGTTTAATTTGAACATTTATTAATATTATCTGATTGTTAATTTGTACTATATATTACATAGTTAATTGTTTAAAGTATTAGTCATTATTTTATAAGTACAGACTCCTTCTAAGCCAGCACTTGTCTAGTCTATCCGTGACATTCAGGTGAAACTCAAATTGCTGTTTCACAACAATCAATTAAAATAATAAGTAACCCGAATAACTAAGTCGTTATCTGTGATTACTTCTTAAACGCCTGATCTTGGATCTTGTTGCGATGAGAGAAAACTATGAAGACATGTCCCAATATATAAGAGATTCAAAAATGAACACAAATAAAATTAATATGTTTGTTTATACCTAAATATAAATGTAGGGTTGATGACTGAGTCATTGTTTTGATGTCATACTCCAATTATACAGAGATTTTACCATGACATAAACACATTTAAATTCGATCTGTGACAAGCAATTAATCATTGGTCTTTTTATGTTATGGAGACATGTCCAAGTATAAAAGAGATTCTAATAAAAAAAAACATAGGCATTTGTTTGTTACAAATAAGACCGTGTATTTATTTGATTAGTTCTCATAAATTTGGCAGGTCCTAAATTTCCTGATATTGATGATGAATAGGTTTAATTAGTGCATAACAATTTTGCTGTTTTTTTTTTTTTTTTTATTTCGATGCTTAAAACATCGAAATTGAATAAGGTAAAACATAACGTTGGAAAGCACGACTACAGAAAGACTCACTCTTGTATTTTGTGTTTGAAAATTTAACTAATCATTAAACACATTGCACCATTATGGGTATTCCGTGCACACTGTAGGAGTGTATAAACTCTGAAGACAAGGTAAATCGTCATTTTAATATTTAATAGTCTCGCGGCGAAGCTAAAACGGATGGGAACATAACCCAGAGGATTACCTTCCATGTAGATTTAGTGTCCGTCTATAAATAAGATCAGAGATGTGGAGACATGGTAATGTATATTCAAATAGACGGGGATTTAACGGAGCATTAAACGGCGAGGTCCGACAAGAGAAAATGTTCATAAGGCTATTACTACAAGGTGTTGGTGTAGCTTAAATGATTTGAAAAGACGAAAAATCCTCATCTATAAATGCTTAATTTTAAGAAAATAACTAAGCTCAATAATTCCAGTAATAATATATCACGATCATATTGTATAACAGCCTACTCATGTCATAAATTTTCCATAGTAGAGAAAATCGTGAATTTTCAAAACAATTAAGAGATCAATTCACAAAAAAAAAGAATGTTATGCATGTTATGGATGTTGAAGGATATGCATCATGCATTGGACAAAAGACTGGGAAGGTGCTGAATGTGAACATTAAATTAAAAAAATGCATAAAAAAACATATAGGCTCAGCTAAAGGAATGGAACCTGCTTTAGTTGTCGACATGATAAAAGATGTCATAGATAAGGGTATACATATAAAATAAATTGCTGCCGATGATAAGACTGTGGTTTTTTAAAGGGCACAACATATCTAAAAATAAAGACTTAGGAGGAAAACATCGGACAAAAACCACATTAAAAAACCCATATCAAAATAGGGAAATAGCAAAATAGCAAAATAGAGAAATTCTTGTCAGTCAATTAATCGAAAGAGAAATTATGAAACAACTTCTGACAACTGCAGATTTAAAGGAGAGGAATTTGTGCCTTTTTATGGAAGAAGTTACCTCAATGGCTAACCTTTTAAGAAATAGGTTACTGTTCTATGGAAGTGAAATAATGAAACAAATCCACAGAGCATTTTAAATCAATTCAATGGAATGCAATTGTTTGCGAGTTTATGGTGAAATTTCCAACAGATTTAAGTTTTTTTCATTGACCATGTTTTAACACCAGAAGACATGCATTGGGAATACAGAGAAAATTGAAGCCATTAGTCCCAGTATTTCTGTTATTACTCCAATTGATATCAATACACCAGAAACCATACCACTACCTGAATACGGGACTTTTATGAAAAATGCTTGAACGATGCTCATGAAAAAGCTGAAATAGAACTGGTGATCGAACATTTAAGATAGGAGGTGACCACATGACTCGAAAGAGATTCTCAGGAAAAGTTATTGAGGATACACCTGCGGACAAATTCGGCCACTTAAGTCAAATAAACTTTAAACTTTTCCACATGTTGATGTTTAACCTGAAAATCTCTGCATATCACATACAAGCATTGACCCCGCCGCCCCCTTTACAGATCGCTATCCTTGTCGTGGTCGGGGGGCATGCGTGTATCCTTAACCCGAAGAGCTATGCCAGCTGGAGTATTGTCTCCTGATAAGGTCACTCGTGCTGGATAGATCGAAGGGTAGAAGCCACACCAAATTGATCCAAATATCGTTAAAGTTGTATGAGGTTTTAAATAAAATAGACAGTCAAACCCGTAGGCCGTGGATTGATATCCGTTTCGATGGTTAACGAGTCCTTGCGGATGAGGGACTCCTTAAGGTCCGAAAAATATTGGATTTTTTATCAGCATGTAACTATAAAAATATGAAGATGTGCTAAATCATTCCATGCGTGGTAATACATGAATTAAAAGAAATTTCAGATGACTACTCGACATGATAAAACTGAACTTCTGGATTGACAAATATTTGAAAGGTTAAGGGACGTGTCCTAGTTGGGATAATTTTGATATCAGTTGACAAACTGATAAAATTACTTACCGCAAGTCATTACATTTTCAAGATAGGAGAAGACCTCATTTGTCAAACAGCCTCTTTTAACCTACTATAGATAAGGTTGTTGGGACTGAAGGTAAAGATAAAACAAAAATTTAATTACAGATGATGCTGGGAAGACAAACGTCGTACAGTTGGCCACTTGATTCATGCAGTAGACGCATTACAAAGCTCCAAACAGTATGCATATCAGGGTTTGTAAATATGGAATTACATGCATGAGGGATGAGAATTGAACTATTACCATCGTAAAATATTTTCATACTAGTGATTACATATACACAACATATCTTGTATATATATACTAATACCATTTAACCTTTGAATATGTTATGCATGTTAAAGGATATTCATCATGCATTGGACAGAAGACTGGGAAGGTGCTGAATGTGAAAATTAAATTAAAAAAATGCATAAAAAAACATATAGGCTCAGCTAAAGGAATGGAACCAGCTTTAGTTGTCGACATGATAAAAGATGTCATAGATAAGGGTATACATATAAAATAAATTGCTGCCGATGATAAGACTATGGTTTTTTTAAAGGGCACAAAATGTCTAAAAACAAGACTTAGGAGGAAAACATCGGAAAAAACTACATTAAAAAACCCATATCAAAAAAGGTATATGCTATAAAAAACAAATACATAGTAATGTTACAGCGAGTAAATAATTACATTATGCAAAACTTGTTGTATATGGTTACACATAAAAAGAAATGTATAACAACAGGTTTGAAAGCAATGGTAGGGCACATTTTTTCTGACCACAGCTACTGCACTACAAAGTGGTGTGTTTTTCTAGAAAATACAATTGCAAAATGTATAAGGTTACCGTACGACAAACCGTCCACAAAAAAAAAGAATTGATAATAAGATCTAGAGAGAATTTTATATAAAAATTGTAAATGCATGCCGAAAAACTTACTAATCTTTTTAGCACACAAATTAATGAAAATCTTAACCACAATTGCACCAAAATTATAAGCATTAATCTGCTTCTATTATGATGGGTTGCTATACGCCTGAGTTACAGGTTCGGTGCAGTGCAAAAGTGTCACTGAAAATGCAGACCACAGATATGGGCATGAGGTAATTAAGTTAATTGTTTAATATTTAGAACCACACTTGTTATTAGATATTTATTACAAACTTGAACATCATTCATAGTATATAAGTATATAA